CATCTATACATTAATTTCCTTCTTTTAGTATTTGTTCATTTAATTTCTGTGTGTAATAAATGTGCCGGCTGTTTACTGGTTTCATCCCAAATTGGCCCAAAATTCATTTCTTTGCTCCTAAGAGTCAAACCTAGTCTCATATAGACATCTGTTTGGTGTAATATGTTATTGTGTTATATAGCGTTAACTTGTTATAGTGTTACATACGCAAAACTTGGAATTTATCAATATGGACGTGATCTGTGGCTACGATCAAATTTCATGTCAAGTCTCAGCTCATGTACGCAAGTTTTTGAGTTAGCCTGAACTTGCTTGCTGCATAGTAAATCTGGCGGAGAATAGTATAATGACAACATTTTGTTGATTTAGATTATTTTCCTGACCAATAACTGAACTTGATTGACTGACCCTGGAGATATTTTAACAATACACTACTGTGCATAATGTTTATATTGTTTTCTTCTGATTTGTTTGTAGTCAGTGGTCAGCTGTTCCTTTAATCATGAGGAATGTTAGTTTGAGTCATTCTTCAATAAAAAAAATTGTATATTTGAATGTATTTGCTATTGAATGTTTACTGTTGCTGTTGAATATTTCTTAATAATTTAAAGGGGTCATATGATGCTATTTAAATTTTTCCTTTCTCTTTGGAGTGTTACAAGCTCTTGGTGCATAAAGAAGATCTGTAAAGTTGCAAAGACTAAAGTCTCAAATCCAAAGAGATATTCTTTATCAAAGTTAAGAGTCAACCATGCCTACCTAAAACGGCTCATTCGAACACGCGTAGAACTACCATTGTTTTGATTATAAAACATTTTAAAAGACCAAAACTGAGTTAAAATTACTCACATTAATCAATAACAAAACAGACTTAATAGAATTAATAATTAATACTGGTAACAACATTCAATTTATTATTTTGCCAGATGCTGGGAAATTACTTTTAAATTTAAAGGGATAGTTCACCCAAAAATAAAAACTACCTCATGTTTTACTCTAATTGTATTTGCACAGACTTGGGGGAAGTCGTGGCCTAATGGTTAGAGAGTCGGACTTGTAACCCAAAGGTTGCGGCCACATGTCACATCACTTTAAAACGTCACTTTAGTATATGACACTTTAGTATATGACTTTCTTCTTTCATACAAATACAGAGTTATATTAAAAAATGTCCTGGCTCTTCCAAGCTTTATAATGGCAGTGAATGGGGGTTGAGATTCAATAATCGAATACAAGTCCAATAAACTCTGTCCATCATAAAAAAGTGCTCCACACAGGTCTGGGAGGTTAATTAAGGCCTCCTGAAGTGAATTGATGCATTTTTGTAAGAAAAATAACCATAATTAAAACTTTATAAACCATAATCTCTAGCTTCCGCTATTTTTTGTATATGGGTTAGAGTGGTGTTCCAGCCGGATGACGTAGGCGTAGCGTAAGATCCGGGACATTTTTACTATGGATGGATGCAGTTTATTAGACTTGTGTTCGACTCAACCCCCATCTCAACCCCCATTCACTGCCATTATAAAGCTGGGAAGAGCCAGGACATTTTTAAATATAACTTGTATTCGTCTGAAGGTAGAAAGTCATATACACCTAGAATGGCTTGAGGGTGAGAAAATCATGGGGTAATTTTAATTTTTGGGTTAACTATCCCTTTAAGGTATATATTTTTATCAGTTCATGTTTCCCTGGGATTTGAACCCATGCCTATGGCTTCCCTATCACCATGTTTTACTGTTTGGGCAACAAGAAACTACTGACGATCCCACCTTCCCAACAATTTTGCACTCCACCCTCCAATCCAGTAGGTCTCAGGAATGCACCATTTAGGTTAAATTTTTCATTCTGTCTGACTTAAAGTGTCTTTCCAAGCCTATCACCATCACGGACTCAAGAATGAAACCATGCAAGGTTTTGTATGCATGAATGTTTATTAGCTGCAGGCCAGAAGTCACTGAACACACATATATTTATGTGAACAAATACATAAACATTAGGTTACATGTTTTTTTTCCCCGAGTTTGGTTACACTCACCTCTCTCCTAAGCATATATACCCTTTTGTTACTAGGCAGAAGCAATTCTCCACAGTCACTTCACATGTCTAGAGCACTGGTTCTCATTTCCAGTCCTGGGGACCCCCTGCTCTGCACATTTTGCATGTCTCTTTTATTTAACTCACCTGATACAGATCATCAGTTTGTTAGCAGAGAGATCCATGAACTGAACTAAGTGTGTCACATAAGAGAGACATACAAAACGTGCAGAGCGGGGACTGGAATTGAGAATCACTGGTCTATTCCTCATCTTTCCTGCATATAATTAAACATTTTGCCTAAAATCTTTTCCATTTAACTGAAGAAAGGGAGTTATACTAGTAATGGGCATTTTTGATTACAGAGGACTCAACAAGAACCGAATGAGCCGTGGCGAAGTTTGCCGAGGATTACCAAAGATTCTGATGAGTGAGTTGACAATACTGTGCAAGCCTGAGGTGCGTACTAGAAAAATGCTTATTATGACTGTTATTCATTTACATTTTATTAAAACCTGCAAAAGCCTTTCTGTCGAGTGATGTAAATACATTTTACAATAGTTTATTGTGCATGCATATTATATTTAAAGTTGCTTAAGTGAAATCAAGGAGTTTATAAGGCTGGTTTATTCATTCTTTATACTGTAGACATGTAGAACATATCTGCGTTTGTGCATCAATGTCTGTAATGTGTGCTGTAGGTGTGAAACTTTTAGGAATCTTATCCAAGTTGTAGGCTAGTCAAAATTGGTCAGTCAGTTGTATCTGACATAAAGGATCCGCGAATGAAACTGTGACCACAAACACCATTAACTTAAGTGAATTATATGGCAATAATCAGTAATATGCTTTCACACAAATAATTTTCTTTTTTTGAATGTTTCAATATGTGTTGACACAAATGACTTATTTGAATTTTTCGAAAAGGTTTGTTTCTCCCATCACTCAAGTCATACAGATTTGGAAAAACATGGGGAATGTTTTATTCTACACTAAATGCACTAATTATGTGGCAGATGATTTTATATAAAGTGACTCACAATTGTGGAACATTACAAGCAATGTGATGGAGATAGGGAGACCAGAGAAACTCCTCTAATCAACTTTTATATCTGTGCTGTGGTGCCTCATGAGAGATGGGAGAGACCAAATGAAGGGAAATGTTTTTATTTTAAAGTTGAATGGCTGTACAATGGTGAAATATCTATACACGACTGATAAATAACGTTTAAATTATAAAGTTTATAATCTTTATAATCATTTGGTTGTTTGGTGAATTTGATTCCCGGTTGCTTGTACCACTTATAATCTTATAATGGTTGTGCCCACGAGTATAAATGTCCACCAGCTGCTCTTAAACAGAGATGGAAGATGAAAGTTGGTGAGAGAATAATCTGCTGAAGATTGAAAATATAGAGTTTTTTTTTTAAATGTTATTTATTTTTCTAATGTTCTTTATTTTTGAAATGAAATTACCATGCCTGTATATTTATGTTTTTAACGATACTGAAACATCTAACCAACAGAACACTGGTTCTCAATTCCAGTCCTGGGGACTTATTTAACACACCTGATTCAGATCATCAGCTCGTTAGGAGAGAGATCCATGAACTGAACTAATGCCGAGTTTACACTTCACGATATTAGCCCGATTTTTCACTCGCCGACAGGTCGTGCAGCGTGCAGCGTGAACACAGCAGCAACTGAATGCTACCCCAGATAGTCACGCAGTGTGAAAACAACGGCGATCCGACGAGTTTGAAAATCGTGCCGTGTGAACTCGGCATAAGTGTGTCAGATAAGAGACATACAAAATGTGCAGAGAGGGGGTCCCTGGGACTGGAATTGAGAACCACTGCAATAGAAAATTCATATTGAGTTTGAATGTCGTGAGCCAATCAGGAGGCATCTTAATGGTCACGTTGGAGGCGGGACTCAGAGCGCGCGCAGTTTGACTGGGTGACCCGGATGTTGAGAACTGCGTCAAGAGAAACCGCATCAGAGGAGAGGAACCGATTAGTTTTAGTAAATGTTGTGAATGTATGTTTTTCAATACTCGTGTTTCTTTAGTTTCTCACTTGTGTAATTTTCTTTTCTTTACTTTTGCCATTAAGACTTAATGCTGTAACATTCTGAATGAACTTGTTTTATTATATTCACAAACGGTCTGAGGATTAGTAATCGCTTTCTCAGATGCTTTGTAGTCGCTGGAAATCGGTGAGTAACATTCAGATAAACATTCTCACAAAACTCTTACAGAGTTTATTTATTAAGGTTTATTATGTTTAAGGTAAGAAGTGGTGAGTTATTGGAGTACGTATTTAATTGTTTTGAATATTGAAGTCTCTGTGCTCTGCACTGTGAGGGTATAATCCATAATATGAGCACTTTAATCTGACTAAAGAGCAATTTGTTAAACCCTTTTCTTTATTTATGTTGTCCAAATTGTATAAACTGAATCTGATTTAAAGGCGTTTTGATGCAAGTTATTCTATAGAGTCACTGTGTGCAGTAATTGTTTAAAATGTAATTGTCAGCAGTTTTAAAGTGTAAGTCCCTGAATTCTGGAATCAAAGGAAAAACATTGGTTATTTAAAGTAATTTTATTTTTTGAATGAATATCATAATCACAGTTCCAGAGGACACAGTGAATTATCTTGATGAATTAAAATCAGAAAGAAAAAAGTAAATGACCGTAGTAGTGACATTCAATCGCAGAGCATGTTCAATTCAGGATGCTCTGAATTCTTCATATTTCGGCATTTTATTCAACATAACTTTTTAAAAATGTATTCATAACCTATATTTTAAGGTTAAGATGAACGTAGATCAGTGGGCAAGATGAGAACTTAGATAAGGTTTGTCCAAGAAGTTATATTTGTCCCTAAACTTCTGAAAAAAGTCTCAAACGGGGCGGGGAAGTCGTTAAATCTAGCTACAAAGTAGCTAAATTGGCAACGCTGGTCCTGTTGAAGGTGGAAGAAAGCATGTGAAGCTGATTGAATGTGACAGCTGAACTGCATCAAGAGAAATGCCATCAGGTGAGAAGTGTAGCCTTTATCTTATTTGCCTGTTTTCTTCATGCATGTTTTTTTTCCTCTTCATCTGTGGTATATTCACTTAAGTGTTTGTTTTTCTTCTATTTTTTAAAAAATTTGGTTAAGAATTTCCTCTGCTTCCTGAACTTGGTGTTTTGTTTTATGTACAGACAAATTGTGACTTTAAGGAATAATTTTAGAAGAGCTATGACAGTGGCAAACATTTCTTTATTGTAATGTGGGCAATGACTATACAATGAGTGGTAAGACTTTTAAAGCTCAAATGCAGAGCTTAATGTTTGACTGTGTATGAATGTCTTGGGTTTCACATAATCTGCTCTGGTTTTTGCTCTTTCAGATCCTACACTTTCCTGGGCATTGTATAAGAAACCGTTTGCTTCACTGTGGCATTTGGTGAGGTTAAACATTTCGGTATTTGTGATTAGTTCTGAATTTCTGAGGAACTATGCACCAAAAGGTAAAATTGTTTTCTAGAGTGTAGGCAGTTCTAAATTGATTGTTGCTGTTAACTTGTTCAAGTGTCTTGCTGTTAATACAATTTTGTGGCTTATAGCTGTTGTACATCAATGGCCCTTTGGGTTCACATGTCTTATGGTGCCTTTATCAAGAAACTATTTTATTTTTCTCTAAGTATCAGCATGACTTGCATCTTATTACTGATGTGACCATAGTTTTAAAACCTATACTGACATCTATCGATATTAAACTGCTTCGTCTGTGCTGCCACCACTATATCTGGAATGTATCAAGTGTTTGAGTTCCCTTTTAAGCTGAAAGGACATGGTAGCATGGATGGTCAGTGGCACCTTGTGTATGCTTTTTCATATTTATAGAGAAAGTTAGTGTCTCTAAAGTGACTTTTAACCCCACTTTTGTCTGTTTCTTTAATTTCCTGTTTATTGAAATGTCTAAATGCTTCTGTAGACAAATTCTTTCTCCGATATCTATGCTGTCTTGGTACTCAACCACAGCCTTTCACACTGTTTTGGACTATATAGGGCAGCCAGCAACAAAGCTGTCATCATTCCTGCTTTTCATCTCTGCCAGTCAGTGACAATGCAACATTCAGGCTTTGACAAATATTGGTTTCCAGGTAACACTGAAACTGTATTAGCCCTCTATGGACCTTTCTCCCATACTGCTCACTCAGCTGGGCAGGGTAAGTATCATGCTATGACTTCCTAATCATGCCAAAATGCCTTTCTTGATGCGGTCAACTCTTTTGACTTGGTGGCAGTTGGCAAGTTCTATGCAATTTAACCACCTACTGAGATGATATTGTAAGTATTGGTCGCTTCTCTATTTAAAATTTCTTCCTTGACTATATCAACTCAGAGGACTGTAAGAGACTGTTGTGTTTTTGTGTTCACGGAAAGTCTCTTTTGTCAACCAGTCTTGCTTTGGAAGAAGTGTTTTCTTTCTGAAGATCGCCTTGAACCTGTTTAAGTTCTTCAATGAGGGTGAATGTTGTTCTCGCCATGTGACTTCAATTCATCCCTGTTCACCAAATGCAGAAGTATAACTGCACCATAGACCAATTGTACAGCTGCTGGTTGGCTGTTAACGCTGACTTCACCTTTCCACTCAAAGCGTCACATTTGTTTTTGACTGGGACATGGAGACGAGACTACTCCCTCTGTGCTCTGGTAGACTTCCACACTCCTCAACCACCTGAATTACCTTAAGCACAGCCATTGTGGACCGTGAGTATGTGTGCTACAAATGCAGGCATGTGAGACGATGGGAAGTCCATGTAGTTTTAGTGATTGAGATCTTGAATTTCAGTTATTGTACGGGCAAACATCAGCGGTTCAATTTGTTCTTGTTGCTAGTTTCCTAAGGTTTTTTTTTTTTTTTTTTTTTTTTTTTTTTGTGGGTGTATTTGGCTGGAACTTCAAAAATGCAACCACTGAGATCCGCATGCTGCTATCCTGTCTTGACAGCCCACTGACGACTTCAGTCCCTTTCCCTGGGTAAGTCTCTTTTCACAACTCCAAGTCCTCCTAGTCTTGTTCGACCTCAGATGGTTCCGTACTACAGCAACTCAAGCCAGACAATCAGCTGGACATCAATGCATGTAACAATCACCCTTTTATTTTTACATTTTGTACATGGATTAAAACAAATGCATATTGGTTTTTACTTGCATTGAGTTTACAATCAAGTTAAATTTGTGCAAATTTCTGACTATGCCTGAAGGGCCTCCAGGAGAGACCACAGACACCCAGAAAAGTAATCATAGCCTTCGGAAATGTGGAGAAGTTGTATTCACGGAACTGTGATTTGAAACTCAACTAGGACTCCTGGTTTTCAGTCTGCATATTGGTTCAGTGGCACCTCTGCTCCTACAATACTAGGAGTACTACTTTGTAAGGAGACTCGTAAAGAGGCAAACCGAAGGTAGTCAGTTGTCTGTGTATATTCACTGCCACTTAAGTGCAGATATCAGATGTATAGTGGCGCCCCAAACTTAGGACTCATATGTGCAGCTGCAAGTCTTTTTATCAATGTGCACAAGGAAGAACTATAAAGATGGTTAATGTGTTGCACTGATAACTGTAATGGTTTTATGGTTTTAATTGAGAGAAATAGGCTTCAGTGTTTACAAAGGCTCTCTTTACATGTCTGCAGTGCTATTGTCTGACACTTTGTGGCTTTGCAATTGATGTTAGTCTTTTGAATATTTAGATAAGTCTGTTATATTTGTTCATTTGGGATTTGCACTAACATTCCTTGTTTGTTTGAATTTAGCGCAGAGGTGTCCTGTGAAGAGTTAAAGTGATAGTTCACCCAAAAACGACTTTAAACTTACTCAGACAAGTTTGACAACTTCCCAATGAGTTTCTTCTGAACACAAGACATTTGAACAATGTTGGTAATAAAACCGTTTTCAGAAGTTTGTAGCTATACTCTGCTCATCTTGGGCTTTGACTGGGACCTAAATTTGACCAAAGGACAAAGTGACTCCACCCTCTATCAACTTGGAGGGAGGTGTTGGAGAGCAGGTGTGCTTGTTGCTAAAATTTGGAAAAATTATCTTCTGTACAACAGTCTTGAATCTCTTGCAATTATGAATGCTTAAGTTTGTGGTGTTTGTTTTCTAGGTAAGCTTGACAACATGGAGCTGGATGTAATGTTATTCTCCTTTAAGGATTGATGCCCGCTCGTTGGCTTTGCGGTCCATGTTGATGTGGCTCATGCAAGAGTTCTAAGCCCTTCTAGCCTTGTTTGACCTTAAATGGCTAAATGCTACAACTCTGTTGTACCTCATTTATACAGAAGCCTCAATGTTCTTGTTTCTTTAAATTAGTTAATGAGTTTAATTTTGTCACAATCGGGTACTGACAAGGCCTTAGGAACATTCTCCAGCAGCTGCCTAGGTGAAGGAGTCCCTCTTGAACTGAAGACTAACCCGTGTCCCTTGCAATGTTTCCAACACCTGGCATATTGGTCTTGTTGCTGGGTCAACAGCTTTAAGGTGAATGCTGTCACTGTTCAATGCAGCATCTGTTAAAACTATGCTAGGTGTGTTTCTTGAAAATGAAGGCAGAATGGTTCATTTGGATCATCGCTACCAACTGCAACCCATCAAGTTGCATTTCTGACAAGTTGCTCTGGTGTAGTGATTGACTTTTGTGGGTGTATTTGGCTGGAACTTCAAAAATGCAACCACTGAGATCCGCATGCTGCTATCCTGTCTTGACAGCCCACTGACGACTTCAGTCCCTTTCCCTGGGTAAGTCTCTTTTCACAACTCCAAGTCCTCCTAGTCTTGTTCGACCTCAGATGGTTCCGTACTACAGCAACTCAAGCCAGACAATCAGCTGGACATCAATGCATGTAACAATCACCCTTTTATTTTTACATTTTGTACATGGATTAAAACAAATGCATATTGGTTTTTACTTGCATTGAGTTTACAATCAAGTTAAATTTGTGCAAATTTATCTGACTATGCCTGAAGGGCCTCCAGGAGAGACCACAGACACCCAGAAAAGTAATCATAGCCTTCGGAAATGTGGAGAAGTTGTATTCACGGAACTGTGATTTGAAACTCAACTAGGACTCCTGGTTTTCAGTCTGCATATTGGTTCAGTGGCACCTCTGCTCCTACAATACTAGGAGTACTACTTTGTAAGGAGACTCGTAAAGAGGCAAACCGAAGGTAGTCAGTTGTCTGTGTATATTCACTGCCACTTAAGTGCAGATATCAGATGTATAGTGGCGCCCCAAACTTAGGACTCATATGTGCAGCTGCAAGTCTTTTTATCAATGTGCACAAGGAAGAACTATAAAGATGGTTAATGTGTTGCACTGATAACTGTAATGGTTTTATGGTTTTAATTGAGAGAAATAGGCTTCAGTGTTTACAAAGGCTCTCTTTACATGTCTGCAGTGCTATTGTCTGACACTTTGTGGCTTTGCAATTGATGTTAGTCTTTTGAATATTAAGTCTTTAAGTTATATTTGTTTATTTGGGTTTTGCACTAACATTCCTTTGTTTGAATTTAGCGCAGAGGTGTCCTGTGGAGAGTTAAAGTGATGGTTCACCTAAAAATGACTTTTCACTTACTCAGAAGAAACTCATTGGGAAGTTGTCAAACTTGTCTGAACACAAGACATTTGAACAATGTTGGTAATAAAACCGTTTTCAGAAGTCTGTAGCTATACTCTGCTCATCTTGGGCTTTGACTGGGACCTAAATTTGACCAAAGGACAAAGTGACTCCACCCTCTATCAACTTGGAGGGAGGTGTTGGAGAGCAGGTGTGCTTGTTAAAATTAGGAAAAATTTTCTTATGTACAACAGTCTTGAATCTCTTGCAATTATGAATACTTAAGTTTGTGGTGTTTGTTTTCTAGGTAAGCTGGACAACATTGAGCTGGATGTAATGTTATTCTCCTTTAAGGATTGATGCCCGCTCGTTGGCTTTGCGGTCCATGTTGATGTGGCTCATGCAAGAGTTCTAAGCCCTTCTAGCCTTGTTTGACCTTAAATGGCTAAATGCTACAACTCTGTTGTACCTCATTTATACAGAAGCCTCAATGTTCTTGTTTCTTTAAATTAGTTAATGAGTTTAATTTTGTCACAATCGGGTACTGACAAGGCCTTAGGAACATTCTCCAGCAGCTGCCTAGGTGAAGGAGTCCCTCTTGAACTGAAGACTAACCCGTGTCCCTTGCAATGTTTCCAACACCTGGCATAATTGTCTCGTTGCTGGGTCAACAGCTTTAAGGTGAATGCTATCACTGTTCAATGCAGCATCTGTTAAAACAATGCTAGGTGTGTTACTTGAAAATGAAGGCAGAATGGTTCATTTGGATCATCGCTACCAACTGCAACCCATCAAGTTGCATTTCTGACAAGTTGCTCTGGTGTAGTGATTGACTGTTATTTGGTTTTGTAATCGAATTGTACGTTATGATTTTATTTATTGTATTATGCATCACTGTTTCCCTTGTAAAAAAAACAAAAAAAACCCCCCTTTTTTTCCCAAGAAGCCCTGATGGCAATAAAAGCACTTTAATCCAAGCCCAGCTGTATCTGGTTGACATCTGAAGGTAAGAAATTACAGCTTGCACTTTCAACATGAGCTTTGTTTGACTCTTTCAAAATGTCAGTTTTAGATTGTAACCATGGGCTTTGTATTTGGAGTTTAAAGAACCAAGAGCTTTCACCTGTTTAGTGTACAGAACTCGGCTCTTTTTGTTTGTTTTGTTTTTTTCTATGTACTGTTTTTCTGTGCACATCACCCATATATCTTTGTTTTTACTGCTGTCTGGCACAGTCATAGCCCTGAAGCTGAAACCACTCTCTGCTCACCTTTGGCTTGACAACTGAATTGTACTACAGGACATGCTGACACATCTGCAGTTTGTCCCAGAGCCCACATCAGAACCAGGAAGGGCAATGCAAATAACTCCTTTTGAATTTAATGCATTTTTTTTTAATTAAAAAAAAATAATAATATATTGTCGTAGTCGTGTGTTTATTAGTCACGTTGAATCAATGAAAGCAGTAAAATCTTCTGTTTATTCAGGATTTCTTCTGCGGGGTGTATTTGGAGTTTCAGCGCGAGTGCGCCCTCTGGCCTTCGGATGGAGATTTACTACTGATCACAGAACCCTGCTTCACTGAAAGACACGCATTACAATTGCAGCTTCTGCCTAATCGTGATTTATCGCCTTTGTGATTAATTTCCAATAATCGCATAGCCCTATTTCAAATCATCTCCGATGTATTAAGCAAGGTACGAAGAACGGGCCCCAGAAATATGACTTCTGAATTTAGCAGGTTACGACCACATTATGGATAATACAGCCATGGGTCAATGCAGCCTTTGATCAACCGACGTTAGGTGTAGTAATTGGTAAGGAGCAGAACAGAAGGCAGTGTCGGTCACCTGCAGGTGCATATCAAAAGCCAGTTATGCTTAGTTATGTAGGGGTTACTGATCACAGAACCCTGCTTCACTGAAAGACACGCATTACAATTGCAGCTTCTGCCTAATCGTGATTTATCGCCTTTGTGATTAATTTCCAATAATCGCATAGCCCTATTTCAAATCATCTCCGATGTATTAAGCAAGGTACGAAGAACGGGCCCCAGAAATATGACTTCTGAATTTAGCAGGTTACGACCACATTATGGATAATACAGCCATGGGTCAATGCAGCCTTTGATCAACCGACGTTAGGTGTAGTAATTGGTAAGGAGCAGAACAGAAGGCAGTGTCGGTCACCTGCAGGTGCATATCAAAAGCCAGTTATGCTTAGTTATGTAGGGGTGTAAAATTACTGCACAAGTCTTTAGCAATGTGCACTTACAAAAAGCTTTAGGGATTGTTGGTCACTGGTGCGTTGAATTTAATAAGTCAATATTAACAGTTAAACTCATTTTTCTTTTCCAGACTACTTTGCTTGCAAGGTTCTCCACATTTTTGGTGCGCTGCTTGTTTCAGACTGACAGGGCTTGTGGAAAACCGTTTTAAAGACCCTTTTTTTTTTTTTTCTCCGTGTGGTTGTAATTTAGTTAAACTTTACCTGCATATATCTATCTCTATAATTTAAGGCCATGCCTTATGCTTTTTTTTTTTTCTTATCTTAAATCTTAAAATCTGTTGCCTGTTGTAGTCCATTTGTTAGGGTTGCATTTGTTTTAGTACTTTTTGCAGGTAAAGTTAATGTTGCTTTAATTACTTTAATGCAGAAATGTTCTGTGACCTACTTGTTGTGTTTTTGTTCCCTTACAGTATTAAAACTAATCTAGAAGTGTCAGCTTGTCGTGTTATGCTCTCCTTGTTTTGGTGAACAAACCTCTGTGAAGACCTGAGGGTCTACCAGCAAATGTTCTTGGAACAAGGGTGCAGAAAAGGCACAATATTGTAGTTCCTTGACTTCACTAATATTAATGCTTCCTAGGCACATTGCTGTTTGTCCCCTGGATTATTCCTGCTGATCATCCAGAGGACACAAACGGCAGGTTTCATTTTAATTTCCTCAGTAATCACCAAAATCTATTGTGTGTGTGTATATGCAACAATCTTTTGACTTTCATGTAGTTAACATCAACCGGACAACATCAACTTAACATTTACTCTGTCTCCTAGGTGAGGTAGAGTTGGATGTGCTGTTGTCCTGTTCTTTGATTTACACATCCTTCCCCACCCGACTGTCCTAATCATGGATAACTTAAGCACTCATCTAGGTAAGTCTCAATCCTAATAAGTTCTTCTCGCCTCATTTGATCTCTGGGAATGTGGAGAGCTTTCTTCAGGAAAAGGTTAGGGTTAGGGTTAGGGATTATAGAAACCAAAGGTTAGGGTTAGGTTTAGGGTTAGGGTTAGGGTTAGGGATTACAGACCCAGAAGCCAGA